CCGCTAAATTTAGCGGGAAAACTGAATTGGCGTTGAGGTCACGTGAGGTCGATTTCTCCAATAAACTTAGTGAGAAACTCAACCCGCTAAATTTCTCTTTAAATTTAGCGGGAAATTTAGCGAAAATTTTTCCGCTTAATGGGGGGGGGGGGGGGGGGGGGGGAGCAGGAGAGGGTCCGGAGGGGGTAGATGGGCATACCCCGCTTCGTACCCTCCCGTCTTCCTCCTCACGAGCTGCGCTCTCATTCGGCATTACAGAGAATTGTAAACGTCTTTCATTTTTCGTACGAAGTCGTCTTTTCAGCTGGGTGTTTATTTTTTGTTTATTTGAAAGTCGTTGACTTTGTCGGAGTTCTCTGTCACAACCGATATAGAAAGGCGTTCTATGTCGTCTGATATATTTTTTTTGTTATTTTCAGCAGTTAACTGTCTGTTTATCTGCGTATACGCCTCCAGGGGGGTTATGCAAGACGGCGGGACGAAAGAACGGGGACATCGCCGCCTGCTCCGTTTGGTCAGCGCCACGCCCCTGACCAATAGCGGCAGGTGGCGATGCCCCGTCCCTCCATCTGGCAGAGCCCCCCAGAGCAGTGAAAAACATTTTTTTTTCTGGCTTCCGCCGTTTCTTGGAATGTGATAGGAAAATCGTACTTCTAGGAGATTTCAACTGTGCCTTTAAAACAATAGATAGGACGCCATGCAGACAGCGCAGCGATAGGAGCGACTCAGGGTTAGGCGAATTAATTGAAGATTTTGATCTGATAGACGTTGGAACCGGGAAGAATGAAACGTGTGAGGTTCGTTTAACGCGTTTTAAGTCGCCATCGCGCGTGCGCTTGGACAGTTCTTACGTTTCAGCCTCCGCGCAGCTATCCTAAAAAAATTATCGTGTCACCTCAGTTATTTTTTTCCTGGCCATTGCTTTATTTCAACGTTGTTGACGAAACATTTCTTCGCACGGTAGAGGAAGGTTTCAGATCGCACTTTAAAAGCGCGGTTTTGAGGCGTGTGAGACATTCAAGCAAGAAGTCAAGATGTTAGCGATCGAAAGGTCGCCTGTTCTAGCGTATCAAGCGCATTGTGAAGAACGTAACTTAAATACTGATTTACAAGCGCTGACAAGAACGGAGTGCCAGACGCCCGGGTTGGCTACTAAATATACAGAAAGAGTAAAGGAACGACTGGAAGAGGTGAATCAAGTGCGCTATCGCGGAGCCATTGTCCGCGCTCGATCGGACACGTACCAGATGGGGGAGCAGCCGACAAAACGGGCATTATCAGACGAGAAGAGATATGCTCTTCGCGACGAAATAGGCGAGATAGAGTATCAAGGAGGCGACTAGCACAAACCAAACTTTTCTGCAGAAAGCGTGCGTGACAGATTATAGGCGGCTTTTCGAGAATCAAGGTCACGGGAGGTGGGAAACCGTGTGTGGGAAACTTTTAGAGTCTTTGCCGCAACTAACGGAAGAACAGAAAAGTCTTGCTTATTCAATCACCATTCAAGAGATCGAGAAAGGCATAGATGAGTTGCGAAACCCAAAAGCTCCCGGGCCTGATGGGTTGCGTGCTGAATTTTATAAGAAGTTCAAGTGCGTTGTTTTTGAGGTTTTGTTTCAAGTCGTATGTACAGCGTACAAACGAAAATAATTGTGGCCGTCATTCGCGCGTACTTTCACTGTTCTAATCCCTAAAAGTGACGACGTTGTAAAATTACGTCAAGTCACTGGGTTCCGTCCAATAACGCTGTGCAAAGCAGATAATAAGATTTTCGCTAAAAGTTCATCACCCTACTCCATAGTGTCGCTTGTCAGCTTATTCGTGACCACCAAATTTGCGGCATACAAGGTAGATCGATTTTGACCAATGTTCATGTTGCTCGCAGCGTTCTGAAGTCAGGTGACGATGGCACGCGCCAAGTTGCTATGCTCCAAATTGACTTCGACAAGGCTATTGATTGTGTAAAGCATGATCTTATTTTTATGTTCTACAACGCACAAGTGTGGTGAAATCATTTTGGAGAGAGCCGAAATGGCCTATAAAGGCTGCACCAGGAGGCTCGCTGTCAACAAGGAACTGAGAGCCGACTCACTCACGTGCGAGCTTCCGTGGGACAGGGATGTTCCATGTCGCCTTTATTGTTTAACATACATATTGAGTTGTTTTGTTTAATCGTCATACATAGTGAGCAATGTATGAAATTGCGGCAGGAAAATGCCGAGATCAAAGTTATGAGCTATAACAGACAACGTTTCAGTGTTTTGTGGCGATAGGCGAAGTGTTAGCGCCGGAGTTTTTTTGGCGAAATATTTTTGTGAGACGGGTGCAGCCATAAGCTGGAGTAAGTGTTCAGTGTTTGTAAGGCTGTCTTGGGACTGCGTGCTCTGGGCATACCTCGGAGTGCCCCTACAATGTTACAGAGTGAACAAAACCTATTGGTCGGCAGTCGCCACCGATCTGGGCACACGCGCTTCCCGCTGGAAGCAACGCGGTCTGTCCTTATTTGCCAGAACGACTGTTTGCAATGTTTATCTAATTTCAGACCTATAATATGTTCTGCAAGTCATACACTGTGCGCGGATCAATGTGCAGAAATTTCATCGCATTTTTTGCTGTGTTCATTTGGGAATCAAATTGGGAGCGATGAGACAAGACAGCCTCTTCTATAAGGTACGTTATGGGGGTCTTGGACTCTCCCACTTGTTCGTTAAGCAACTAGTTTCCCGGTTTCTTTTTCTGTAAGAGCAAGAACACCCATTCATTCTCGCGTTCATCCAAACATATTTGGCTCCTCGCTTGACGCCATTCCTTGCTTCGTCACATGGCGGTGAGCCAAAAAGGCAAGAGGGATATCAGAAGGAGGTCGTCGACTCAGTACAATGTTTGTCTTCCCGTTTATATTTAGACTACCTGTCTGTTGTGAACAAGAAGGCGCTTACACGGTATTTGGTGATCAGTTTGTTCCCAACACCACTTTATAGAGCTGTCATCTGTCGTGGTGGCCAGGATGTGCATAAGCGAACCAAGAAAATGTTTGTCCCTCCCTCCGTTAGAACATTCTTTTTTAAGTTGAACACAAACACTTTGCCCGTCAAGGTGTCGCTCAGGGAATAGGGAATTAATGTGCCATGGTCGGTTGACCGCTTTCTATGTAAGAAACTGGAAACTATCGAATGCATTTTTATTTTTTGCTTGAAGGGAGCATTTTTTTAGACGACCTCCAGCGTACACTAAAAAAACAGTTGTGTATTAACCCCACCGGCATTCGCTTCTTGAACGTAACGAATGACGAAGGCGTTCCTTTTGATTTGAGTATGTTGCTTAATTGGGTTGTGTAGCAAATGGAGGTCACGCATGACGGTCCGCATGCCCACCGCAATGCTAAAGAGATGAGATATTACTTTTTTAACCTCATGAGGCGAGTGGAAAGTGTTATTTCAAATTATGAGTCGAAGCCCGACTGGCTAGGCCTTCGTGACCAAGTTTCTTGAGATGAGAGGCTTTTAATCTGCTCTAAAAAAGGTGCTTTAGATCATTTTTAAAGTGAATAAACTGTTTGTGTTTTGTTTTTGCAAAAAAAGAAAAAAAAAAAACGCGCGCCTGTGGTTGAATGGTTATCATTCTTGGCTTCCACGAAAATGGCCGAGGTTCGATACCTGGGAGCGGGCGCAGCTCTTTGCAATTTTTGTAAATGTCGCGTTTTGGTAAATTTGGAAACCCTGTTGCTTCTTCGAGGTCCGAATGTTCTACGCCCCGAACCTTCTTCGCCGATTGTTCCAAAAGCCCACGCGTGTCCCTAAAGGGGTATCCACACGAAGGAGAACTCCGGGGACGGATGTCGTGACGTCACGACCCGGGAAACGCCGTCCCCGGCTCCGCCGCGAGCACCTGCGGAGCTCTCATGCTAAGAGTACGAAGCCTCCGCGCCTCCGCCACGGAGGAGAACGGCGCCGTGAGGCGTCGAAAAGGGATGACGTATGTCTCACGTGATGCGCACTCCGCGGAGGAAAGGGGCGGATTTCTCCTTCGTGTGGGGATGGTGAACCGAAATTCGGATTTAAAAAAAAAACAATGCTAGAGATGTAGGCGGGACGCTAAAATCCCTACAACGCTACTAGTAAGGTGATATCTCAAATGGACGGCCGTATTTTTGGAAAAAGAAGTCGAGATTGAACCAGGCCGACGAGGCGCGTGACCGGCAAGATACCTAGTTTCCTCCTCTCTTCGCTTCGTCCACTCAAGGCCGCGAGGCGGAGAAGACGCGAGGCCGTTCCCTCTCATTCTCGGAGGAACATGACGTCAACATTCCTGCCAAATGCGCCTCTTTCTTGAAAAATACGGTCATCCGTTCGAGATATCGCTGTATGAGTGATGTTTTGGTGTTTGTAGTATCCCGTTGCACGCTTTTGCGGCGTGTTCTGGGGAATCCAGATTTCGGTTCAGCATCCCTTTAAGGGGCTCCGCGTGGCTATCCAGGGTCAGTCTCGCCCCAGCGCTCGATCCTGCTGCTTCGCCGACATCAACGGCTGCGACGCTAGCCTTCTTGTATTTTGTCTTGGGCACAAGTTCGCCCCACTAAACGTTTAGTTTCCTTCACTCATTCGTCGCTTCATCCATTGTCCTTTGTGACAATAAAACTCTATGTTAAATAAATGTTAAAAAAAGAACACTGGCTAGGTGGCGCAACCCGCCGCCCAATTTAAAGGGTTCAGCCTAATCCATCCGGTGGAATCCGTGAAATTTTGAAACGGCTATTTTTATCTGTATTGGTATGGTGCTCGTAGAATAAGCACGACTGACTGCAAGCCTGCCAAAGATACCTTCGCTTGCATGCGGCACATGTTTAAGGCTTGTCGGTGTCGGTGAATTATTTCTGTTTGTCGCTGTAGTGGGTCTCGTGCATTACGACGATCATTTCGTCCATTGTCTGCCTGTCGCCCTTGTTGTCTGTAAAATACGCAGCAGCGCCCATAAAAGACTGATACAGAAGCAGACATTACCTGTGTTTAGTGATGGCTTCCAGAGCTGCCTCTGCTTTGAAGCTGGGTGCCGGCATCACCGTGGTTGAGCCGAACATCGCAGCAGTCAAGGTGCCTACCACGATGCCGTAACAGTGAATCATCGGGGCGTTGAGACAGATCAGTTCGCTCTGAAGAAGACGGCATTCCTTTCGTATGGTGCCATGCTCCCAATTTCAAAGAGCCCCCAACACTCGCTTTCCTAATTATACACCGCCTGTTTTTTTTTTTTTGCCAAACTGAAGCACGCTATTAATACCATATAGTCACTCGGCAGCAGTCTGAACCGCAGTTAAGCGTGACTGAGGTCAGATTTGACTGCGGTTAATGGTGCCCGCGTAACTAGGTTACAATGCGATTGTTGCAGCGACTCATATATCAATTCTCCCGCACTCTGAAGCGTTAATTACTTCCAACATCTATAGGCGTGCAGTGCGCGACGCTGTGAACGCAGACAAAAAATAGCCAGATTTTGTTTATAATTTCAAGGGCCTCTTGTTAAAAATACACAATTGGGTTAAAAAGTGATGGTTCAGGTTGCTGACTTCATGGTTAAAATTGGACGCTGCCAACACCCTTTTGAAGTAAAATGCTAAAAAGCGCCGAAGTCGTGGTTCGCGCGAACAGCGTCACGCAGCCTATAGAATCGTCGAGGTTCATATAATATTCCGCGGGTGAATAGCTACAGGGCAAACTACAGTAATATAGCGAGCGAGCTAGTTATGGTTGACGGCAAATAATCAAAACTAAAGTAACCGACGGACAGACACAGAATGTTTTCGTCACCCGGGTATACCCGCCAAGAATTAAGCCGTGGTCACACCATAGCCAATACCCGAACCATACAATCGTCTGCGGATACTAGAGAGTTTTAGGGAACAGTTTTTGCACGTCCAATACGGTACGGTCTGCCTTCCGGTACGAATTCCGCATGCGCTACCACAAGAGACTCCCATATGTGCAGTTCATACCAAAGGGCCCATCGCACTGTATCTGATGTGCAAAAACGTTTCCCTAAAACTGCCTGAGGTGTGTTTCTTCGTTGCCCCTAGCTATCGCGTTGATCATACAAAAGAACTGTCTGCGGACGTGTTCGAACATGTTTGGGGCGTGTACACAGACAATGTTGTCATCGTGTCTGCCGTAAACACCATGTCTTTTCTACGAAGTATAAGCGGAGCTACAGCGGCTTGAGGCCGACATAGCTGGCGGAACGGCACGGCGTACTAACAAGCACATTCGCACAGTGGCGTTTGACTATGTTCGAGCGTATGTTCAACTGAGAGTTAGCATGTAAACTTATAGCGTTACGTTGCTCGGTGCCGTTGTAACTGGCACTGGTATCTCAATGTATGTGTACGCCACTGCAACGTGGAACAAACGTAGTAAAACGCCACTGTGTGCTACTTTCTCAACGGGTTAATGTACCCGAGAAGCAGCATAATCGGTCATGGTGGATTTCCGCGTATTTTTATTTCGTCGCCAGTACAGTATGTTGGCATTTCTCTTTAGGCAGCGGTCGTTTTCATCGATAGATGTCCGTGGTCTGCCACCTGCGGCATATCCGCGACTGAATGGCGCCCCGGCTGGTTAAAACAGATGATCGTTTCCTCGCGTGCCGGAAACTGTCATGATAGTCGTAGACCCGAGGTTTCCTGAAACCTCGATGTATATGCGAGTACACCGTGCAAGAAAAAAAACGACTTCCACCTGAAATGGAGCGTAGCCGTCAAAGCGACTGGTGGCCGCGGAAAACAATCCGCCTGGTCGGGGATCTGATTCCGGCACCTCTCCCAAACTAGCAGAACGCCGAAGCGCTCTATCAACTGAGCAAATCAGGAGCTGGCAGAGAGTAGAGCAAACGAATGTTAACAGCTGCCACCAGTCTTGATCGTGGACACCAAAAGGGTGGGATCAGACCTTAATAATTAGATTAAAATAATGGCCTCCTAGAGAAGAAGTATCCCGAGTTACCCAATTCTTAGTGGTGAGCTTTGCAACAGCTGTAGACGTGGCTCTTGTGAACCCCGTGAGCCCATTTTTTTACCATTTAATGAGTTCAAAAATTCCCTCAACCATCGATCATTGCTTTATTAAATTATTTGGCAGATTAATTAACTTTTTTCATAAAGCCAGTCATTGTGATGTTCTGACGCTCGCCGAGACTGATAATTTTATCCCGAAAGGATCGTTTCTGAATGTCACGAGCTCAATTTTTTTAGAAACTTTTCACTCTGAAACGACGCCGTTTATAGCCGTAATTTTAAGATATGCCTATGCGTTGACCAGAGACATTAGGCAGTCATGTTTATGAATGCTTGTTCTTAAGCTTGACTAAACGCAGTGGTTACATACTGTGCTCTGAGATGGGTGGCCACTGCGCTGCCTATTTCCTATAGCTATAGGATGTGTGATAAAAAAAGTTCCGGGATTGATTTTTTAGCGTAAACTGCGCTCAACGAGTTTGTTTGACCACATGCGCGAGCATAAGGGCGATCTTTCCATGGGCTGCAAACCAAAACAAGAGCGAGAATCAATTTTACGTCAAACTCGTCAAATATAAAACAGAGACCTCTGAAATTAATTAGGCGGCTTATGTCAAAAATCAGTGAGGTGTGCGAGGTGTTTTAAGTGACACTCGCGCCTCAAGAATGGCAGAATGTTTCTGAAGTCAAGGAAAGGTCGGAAATGTCGCCCTACCTCTCGTCGTCTTCCAGCGATGTTTTGCCGTTCCCGAAGCGCGAGTGCCACTTAAAACACATCGCAAAATGCACAGCTTTTGACACAAGCGTTCTAAATCCTTTTAAAGGTCTCTGTTTTATATTTGCCAAGTTTGACGCAAAATTAATGTTCGATCTCTCTCTGGTTTGCAGTCTATGGTAAAATCAACATTGTGCCCGTGCACGTGGTCACAGAAACTCGTGTAGCGCAGCTTTATATGTTCACAGAGCGACGCTCTTTGGTATAACATGACACGATGGTCCCTTTCTTGAACTACTCCGCGAGCATCATTGTGCTGCCCTCTCTTTTTACTCTACAAAATCAGTCCCGGAACTTTTTGATCTCACCTCGTATTTTATTTCACCTTAAAGGGATACTACAACGAAATTTCGGTGCTCATTTTTTGGTCTATATGTGTTCAAAAGAGCAGTATCACATGAAACATACCAATATCTTGTTAAAAAAAGCCTCGAAAAGGAATTTTAAAACGAATTAAATGATTAGCAAAGAGCACCTGGTGAATGTCGCTAACGCCTCGTTTGTAATGATCGTCTAGGAGCCTTGACAGCTAGTGACGGAGGTTGTCTCGTCTCCGGCCACGACGAGAGAAGGGAGGGAAGGAGGAACTCCCCTCTTCCCGAGAATACCTTTTGTGTGTCGCAGAAGTCGCTATTGTCCCCCTAGAAGATTATAGAAGATTAACCCGTCACTCAAAATTCGTACGAAAGCAGCCGCTTCGGTGGCTGGAACGACTAGGCCATCCTCTCGACGTCAGCCTCGCCGTAGCTTTGCTCGTCCTGAGACAACCTACGTCACGATTGCGTTGGATGTCACGTGCTCTAAGCTGGGCCTTCTCCGAGCGCTTGCCAGAGTGGGCCGTTTATAACGAAAAATACAGCCACCAGGATCAAAATACAAACGTGCGATTGTCATTTACGGATATTGTGGATCATATTCAACCTATTTTTGAACACGACGGGAATATTTCAAATTTCGTTGAAGTATCTCTTTAAGTCCGGTCGTATCCGACGCTCTACGAGTAGATTGAACCAACCAAACAGTTTCAAAAGCGCAAATCCTTAGGCCTCCCCTGTATGTACATGCTTTGTTCAGCGGTAATAAAACACGACATAAACAGTGCAGTCACCATGTTGGGGCACTTTTTGACGCTGCATAAAGTATCCCGTGGGCTCGTTGGCTACATGAGTCCGGACTTTAGGTGAAGCAAAGTGTAGGCGAACGCGCATGGGCTGAATAAGAAGTGCCATTCTTGCTTTTTAAAACTCTTTCTTGATGTTGTACTTCTCTCTGGTATAAACAAGAATAATAAAAAAAGTTATATCTTATCTGAATCTGCAAGACAAAAACGGTTCACCTGCTCGTGGAGCCCAAACCCTCGACCGATCATGTTGGCGTTGTTCACGACGTTGAAGTGAGACAGCATGGCTGCCTTCGGTCGTCCAGTTGTTCCCTGCGTTTAACGAAGGCGTCAACAATCTTTTTACGCTTTCGTACTTTTTATTTTAACGTAAGTCTGAACTTTGTTTTGAACTCGAAATGCTACAAGCTATCAGGCGACCATGCACCAACACGCTCCCAAAGGTTGTGTCAAAATAACGAAAAAGGTTTTCTGATCTAGGCCTGTTCAAACTAGAAATATGTCCTAATAAACCAAATAAAGGGTCAGATTAATAGGGGAATTCGCATTATGTCAGGGGAACCTCAGACTGCCCCTGCCTCTTCCCATTAACTCATCTGAAATGTTTTCACACTACCGAACCAGATAGCTCTCGGAGTGTTGAAACTTTAACAAGCTTGTCTCAACCGTTAGATCTGCATCCGGGGGACAACTGAGCTTTCAGCAATGTTCCGTTACTTTGTTTTTTATACATATTAAAAACACGGTTTATTTATCTACAGGTATCCCACCCTGTAACATAGTTTTGTTAACTGGTTATGCTTGGGCCCCAAAAGCAAGTTTTGATAACAAGGTGCATCTGACGTGTTTGCGAGTGTTGTTTGCTGTCTGTTTGCCTGGTGGCATAGAGCCCTTCGCGTTTCTATGAAATTGACCCAGTCACAAACAGAGTAAGAAGGGCAGAAAGTCTCCTTTAGATTCCCAGCCTCCAGCATGCTCTCGTCGCCTTTCGTCGTGCTTTGACGGCGCGTGCAGGCTCACGAGACGCCAACTTGTTATCGAAAGTAGGAAAGTCGCGTTTGAGGCGGAACAACTGAATGATATATCTTTGCCGTTCTATTTCTTTAAGAGACTTTAGGATTTTGATGCATCTTCAGAGGCGTTCCTGGAACCTGCAATGCATATTGTCTCTTTAAAGTTTGGTGACGACTTACAGACGTGAACTGTATGTTGACTGCCTCGTCGAACTGAAGCTTGGAGTAAATGGCGTTCATGGCGGCGTAGTCCTCAGCGGTGGCAGATTTCATGAGTTCGTCGAAAGTCACCGTGCCACTGCGTGAGATGCACTTGTCGATGAAGTGATAATTACGTCGATATAAGAAAGGAAAAAAAGTCACCCACGCGATAGGGCACCAACGAACTAATACGCATTCTCGAACTATTTGGTTACAAAAGAGGAAAAATATATGCGTGGTTTTATCTACAGTTTATCTCTATCTGTTGTGCGTTCAGATTTTTGTATGTGGCTTTACGTTTACATAGTCACTCATGACTATAAAAAAAAAAAAAAAAAACGCAATTGCGGCCCATGAACGGCTTTATCGAATTCCCCTAAACCTGTATTCATAGTAATGCTGACATTAAAAATGCAAAGTGATTCGCGCTTGTTATTCATGTTTCATTCATATCGCAACCGATAGCTTCGAATGACCTACGTGGTACCTAAATTGCTTGCCGGGAGTACACTGATAATTAACTTTCAGCGGCATTTAAACTATCCTTCAACCAACCATCAATATTTTTTTTTTCTCTTGTTCTCTCCCTTTCTTTTCCATCTTCTTCCCCAATGCGCATGCAACTCTCTTGTCCCAGAGTCAACAAAACGCCCAGTCGCCATATCGGACAATTCGTGGACTTTTAGCAAACCGTTACTATGTTCCGCGTACTGCACTACCGGAGCTCGTTACGAAGCCTTTGAAGCACGCTTTTAAGCGCGCTCCCGGGTGATACCGTGATTGCGGGGCACGCGCTTGAAGGCATGCTTCAAAGGCTCCGGTAGTGTTGTACGCGGAACACGATAACAGTTTGCTGAAAGCCCTAAATAACGTCTGGCATTTGAGCAGCAAGGGGGGGGGGAATTTGACCATATGCAATCTGACTGTGCTAAAGGCTGAACTCCATGCCGCAAAAAATGAGGCGAAGACTTGCAGAACATCGCTCGGCGGCACATTCGCTCTGCGCGCGGCGTAACAGCCAATGTTCCGACGCCACGCGCAGAATGACAGTCATTAAGCGAAATTCGTCGTACTCGCTTCATTGCTTTCGGCCTTAACCTGTGATATTCATCGCCCGCAACGCACCAAAGATCACAAAGTGTTACTTGTTCTATACCAGTGGCAGTGGCATGCCCACTTTATATTAAGTGGGGGAGGGGGGGGCAACCCCCCCCCCCCCCCCCTCCAAGGGCCGGGGATGGTGCCTTTGGTATCCCTTCGGCGCCGGCGGCCAGTGTTTACTCTGCCCAGTGGCGGCTGTATCAGGGGTGGGGGGCAAAACACATGCCTTGCTCTCCCCGTCTAAGAACGCACGGGCTTTTTTTAGAGTACAGATAAACATTTCTTTCCGTGAAGCTTGGATTTTGGTCCTTCAAGAACAGCTCCCATGCGGGGTTTTTTGGTTTTCCCCGAATTGGATAAAACGGGTTGGGGGGTTAATTTTCGAAGTTCATCGGTAGCTACCAAAACACAAAATTATAGTTCTAGATTATGAAAAACATTTTATTGCACTTTGGATATCTTTTTTGTATGTACCAAAGTATTATTTACGGCCTTTGAAACTGCAGTAAAATAAATACTTGCGGGCTTGCAGTTTTTTTTTTCTTTCACTAACACCAATTGGAGACCACGTATGGGTTGTGGCGAAATAATCACAAGTTAACTTGAAAAACTCTCGTAAGCATAAGTCAGTAAAAACAGACATCCTGCAGTCGGGCCTTGCGTTACCACACAATTGCACATATCCAAAATATCAGATCACTCACCGCATGGGGGAGTCGTTGATCATAATAACGTGCTTCAGCACCGGCAGCCTGAATCATTAAAAAAATAACATAAAGCATGCAACACATAAGAAAGATTTGCGTTGTGTTTAAACCCGATTACTCGATATTGTCGAATTTCCTCATCACCTGGCGCTCTTGAGTTCCCCAGGAGAAACTCGATCTAGCTCCGGCGCAATTTGAAGGAGCATTTCGTAGTAGCTTTGTCTGCAAAACTTTCCTGCCACAATGAGAGCTGCACATTTTGTCTGCGTAAGAGAAGCAAAGAGAAGCATACATAGTTGTTTTTTATACAAAAAGGAACGAACCTATACACCGAAAACACAACCCAGTGACTTGCGCTTACGACACCCCATAATTGGTCTATTATTTCGAAGTGTCGGCTGCGTCGGGACTTAACCTGAAGCAGTTTGTTTTCGCGACGGGGTCTGTTAACCCTTCCTTGCAAAAGAGGTGAACTGTGGGTTTTAAAAACAGTCGCTGGAAGAGGGGGAAAGGGGGGGGGGGGGCAAGCCGCCATTCAATTGGAAGGTTCAGGCGTATGAATTCTACCATCCACCAATCCAAATACTCATGCCGAGCCAGATAAATCACTGTGCACCACCGAAACCAGCGTATACCAGTGTACGAAGTGTCCTTATGGAGATCATTGAGAATGGTGTACGGCCGTCAGATTATATCACAAAAAGCCGACCGTGTTTTTAGTTTTACTTCTTGACAGGTTCTATTCTTGAAAGCGTGATGTTAAAACAGTAACGTAACAAAATCAACGCTTTAACCGACGGCGACGCGACCATTTCCCCCTGTCGAGTTTCGAAACACTCTCCTCGTACATCACTCCAAACAAAAGTTGATATTCGACCTACATTTCTGATGACCATCTCTAGTAAATAAATTATATACCTCTTACTAATGCACGGTGGTTCGTATTTTAGAACTATCTTCGTCTTTAAGTACTATCTCTTCTCAGTTCTCAGTAGACAAACTCTGAAAAGTAAACGATGGCCAAGACTCACATGATTCAAACAAAGTTCGAGTTCGGGTGCCTGGTACGCCGTGTTTATGTTCACCTAAAAGAAAAGAGAGTGTTGCTGTCTGATACTATATTTCGTTTCATCAAAAGTCAGAGAGCAGTGAAAGATTAGGAAACATACAAACACATACACACAGTCATACACATAATAAAAACGCAAGGTCGTAGTGCATTCGCTGTGCCCGATTGGTTCTGCCGATAATAACGCACGAACAGAAAGATTGCGAACGCCATGACTTCACATTTTTCAGGCCGCTGTGTTGACCCTGTCGGGTAGTAGGATAGTCTGCCGTGTAGCTTTAGGGGACACAAAATATAGTTAAGAACGTGCCATAAACTCATCCCCACACCCTTCGCTGTTCCCTCCGCGGCGCGTAAATATACCAAAACCGAGACTATTGCGCATCGATGAAGGAGATCTTGAAAACCTCACGCTGACGTCGCCTAACTCATCTTGGCTACTTATTACCTTTGTGGTTGGTCCGCGGAGGGATTTGATGCCGTATCAGGTATGTTATAACGTTTCTTTAACGCATTCTTAACTTCTACCTTAGTGCAGTAGCCTGCGCGCTGGGGTTGGCAAGCAGAACACCACCAACGGTTAACTAGTATATATCAAACAATGCTCACCAACACCAGTCCAGCCTTGGCGACAGCAAACTTAACCACCATCCATTCGTAAATGTTGGGCGCGAGCATGCCTATCTTGGAACCAAGCGGAAGCTTGAGCGACACCAAACTCGCCGCAAATTGATTGACCTGCAGCAAATATGAACGGTTGGAGGTCACAAAGAGAAACCGTAGAACAAGCTATAGGACACTTTCCCGCCATCTACTCGCATTATCTTTATACGGTGCAGATCTCTTTAGACATCAAAATTAAATTTGTTCTGTGGCAGAACGCAATGCAAGCATGACGCTTTGCATTGCGTAATGCCACAGAACAGAGGTCTGAACGGATTTCCGCCTCATCATTCGCTCAGCTGATTTCGTAGATTGCAGGGATTGGTTCTTCAAGTTGATTGCGGGTAAGTAGACGCGCAGGCAATCTTTGAGTGAAGACCATCGCAAGTTTAAGACCAACACCCGAGACTGGCTGAAGAAGACGTCGCATGTATTTTATGGACATGCCCCTTACTTGAAGACTATCGCAAATTTAAGACAAATTGCCGAGACTGGGGAAAAGACGAAGGACAACACACCACACACTCATCAATTATGCTAAACCTTCATCAGTTCGTTTGCGCCCTAACTTGTTTTATCGCAAGTTAGTGACCGAGACCATTATGAAAACCGCTACGTCCTGCCGCAATACTGCGTTTTGTCTGATTTCTACGTATTCACGTGTTATAAAAAAAGTTCTGCACCCTAAATGTAAATTTTTTGCCGTCCCTTATCTCCTCTTCCTGTATGGTTCTCCTGCAGAACGCTACAGCTGTCCCCTAGAAGTGGTAGGAAAACGTGTCCTTTTGTACCTTCCTTTTGCGTTTAGTGTAATATATATTAAAAGAGAAACAACATCTCCCGATGGTGAATGATGTTGATTGGGGCGAAGCTCAGGTGGTGCTGATGATACTGATTTTATTGTTCAAAGGTAGTGCTGATGGTGCTGATTTTTTTTTTTTATTGCTCATAGGTAGTGCTGAGTTCCGGGTTGCGTTTGGTAACCCCAGCTCTTGAGTTACTACCACATCTCAAGGCCCCCTTGACGAACGCTATGTCATATATCAAGCTGCGCTTGATATATGACATAGCGTTCGTCGGGAACGGCTGCTGAAATGTCGTGAACCGAAACTCGGGGATGCTCGCCGTGAGCCTCCAACACAGACCTTATCAAAAGGTTCCTAATAGCGCACTGAAAGATAGAAGCTTCGTCCCTATATCCCTATTCAATTCCCACTAAGAAATCCTGACCGGGGCCGGTTTCGGTTATTCAAATCCTCATTACGCCCACAATACAGTGAAGAGAAAATCTCGCAATACTTAACACCTGCGTCTCACACCACAACCGAACCAACTTGTCAATAAGTTTTTTTAGCTAAAGATATTTTTAGCAGAGGTTTTTAGTTGTCCCAAAAAGTACGCAAATAGTATACGTATCTTGCACATGACGTCGTATGACACCGTACCAGCCGCCATTCCTCCATACCATGGCGTTGTTCCCGTACCTTCTGCAGCATATATTTCGTGCCATCGAATGTGTTGTCCTCGGCAGTCTCTGCTGACAAGAACAAATTCGATTGTGCCAAATGTATGCTGCAGAAAGTATGGGCACAGAAGCATGGTACGGAGCAATGGTGTCTGATGTCTCGTCAATGCAAGCCAAGTATACCATATGCTGCGCATGAAACTCCTATCGAACTATAGAGCGTCGCATAATCATACTTTTAAGTCACAAATATTCGTGAAACTTGTGTTGTAGGATTTGTAGAATATACCTATAGCCATATACAGAACCTCTGCGTGTATGACAGACTGTCTTCGTAAGCTTTGAGCGTGCACATGATCGGCGGTTGCATTGGATACAATGTCTTTATGATAAAAAAATGTTACGTGATGAGCAAAGATTTTCAAACTTGACATTCACCGGAGCCCACCTAGGATCACTTCCCACCGTCTCAGATCTATTCGCGTGCCCCATTTTTCTACAGTCGCGATACATCGCTTCACAGTACAATATACCGCAACGAATGCCGAGCCATTTTGCTGAATTTGTTTCTACATGCGTGCCACGTGACTTCACGCTCTGCGGGTCGCTTCGCCCAACGGAAAGGCCCCGAGCAGGGTGTAAGATAGACAGGTGGGGAAACGAGAGCCAAACGAGCGACCGGATTGTGTCCCCCTCGGGTTTCTCTTTTTCTGTGGCGCCATCTATGTGGAGCACCGCGAACTCTCACTCCGGGTGGGCGACCGGTGGCAACCGGCTAAGCTGACGGAGATGATTTCTCGTGGATTTTCAATAAATGAATGTTGTGCTCTCGGTTTATTTTGCGCACGCTCCCATAAAGTTCCATGCAAATTCGATTCCGACTTTTTTTCCTTTCGCCGCAGCGCCATCTGTCGCAAATCGGGGGTACACGCAAGCAGACGAGTACACAATCCGGTCACGGCGCTGCGGGAGGCTTCTATGGGCCGTTTCGCCACCTGTCTATCTTACACCCTGGCCCCGAGGCACACTCGCAGTTATGGACTGCCTCCGGTGGCTCCGTTGCGGTTCGTCGTACGATGAACCGGAGTGCTGACCCGCAGGACCACCAATTCGCAGGTCCGAGATAAAGAAGCTGGTACGGACGGGACAGCCTTCAAGTAGAAGTATGCGCAAGAGTTGGGAGAGTTCTACGGGACCCTATAGCCATATCTGAGTATAAACTAATGGCGGATGTATCATCGTAGTAAGGAAACTGCTCTCACATATTTATTTCCTCCTATAATTTTGTTTAAGTTTAAGGCTGTGAAATTAATAAATTACCTTACCGGTTAATCGCAGCATGCATTAATCCTTGGTTAATGTTGGATAAAAAAGTGAACGAGTGAGGTTGTCGCGGGCAGTAGCTACATCGCTGCCATAGTCCACACCGAGAATTTGCTCACCGAGGGGACTTCTTTTACAGGATTCCATTCTCCTAAAGTACAACCGTGAATTTATTCTTGTCTTGTAATAAAAGAATATGAGGATAAGCATGTCTAAAAGTATATATATATGTTGCGTAAAAATTATTGGCCTTATGTTTTGTTTTTGATGTCCCCTTTGCATACTAGAAGGAATTTTTAATCCGTAAAAACCTCGCTCAGCGTTTGTTTTCTTGATGGCACCATTTTAAGTGTCAGCCAAATAAATATTGTTAGGTAAACAAAACATATCTCACATTTTTCAGTAAATATTGCAGTACTTCGTAATCAGAAATTTAACGTCAATAAAAAAAGGCATACATTTCTTTCCGTCCCATCATCTACTTCCGCGAGCAATGCATGGCCTACACATTTATTTGAGAACACAATTAATGAAATTAAATTTTCTCTAAGACGTACTAAATGTGCATTGCTTTGCAAATTCAGACAATACTGTTCTCATATATATAGAATTATAATTTTGCAAGCGAAGGCCAATTCTGTCAACATTTGCATTAGATCAACTAACAGATTAAAGTATAACTTATGAATTGATGTGCAGCCTTTATAGGAGATGTGCATCTCCTTTATTTTTAAAGAGGAAAATGAGGCACAGTCATGCCTGTTATCCTCGTTAAACTTGGTATATGGATATCTCAAAACAGAAGTTCTTCACCCTCGTTTGACTTATAATTCTCTTTCAGTCGAACGATCCATTACACGCAGAGTGACACAAATCAAACTGCCGTTTTCTAAAGGTAACCTCATGGCCCTCGTGTGACGCAGGTATAGGAACGTCTCCTGCTGAGTGCACAGTCCACGTTCTGCACAGGTTTCCCTCTGAATCGTGGCAACTGTTTCCTCGTGCAGTTTGGCCTGAACTGAATAAAAACCTTGGTTTCTGCATTGGCTGCAAATGCGGGGAAGGTATGGGAAGGACGATTTCTTCACTGGTTAGATATTATTTCATGACGAGACAGTTAGAGCTGGTTTTTTGTGTCTGCATGAGACTCCATGACTTAGTGGTACCCAGCATCATATATTTCACGTTGTGCCGCCACCGTCGTTATTCTTTTAATAATAAATACAATTAAAAAAAATAAACTCAAGAGTGCTTTATTGCAAGAATACGGCGCTCCACGCGAAAGAAATAATCACAAACAAAGACGAAATCGCTTTATTACGGCTGCTTCCAACATTTGCATTTGAGTTAGACCGACTGCGTTGGATCTGCTGGAGACTGCTTAAAGGCCGACTACCAGACTGGAGATTCTGCAAGGCAGAAGATCCTCCTAACCAAGGCGGAGGAGAAAACGGGCAGTGGTGGGCAGGGTAGAAAGGGGAGAGGACGAAACGGGACAAAAGTGGAAAGCGCGAAGTGTACGTCGGCCTTTAAGACGAGACAAAACTGACGCCATCTATCGGGCAGTCTTGGAGAATTATTTCCATCTGCGTATATTTCTTAATTTTTACTCTTCATTCTTTCACCGCGGACTCGAAATAATTCCGACGATGCTAGAAGCTATCATTTATCATTAATACTGCGTATATTTGACCTCGCAAATACCGCAGAGCACCTTTCTCCTGTCTCGCTGTACGCAAGTTTGGAAGAGTTCCAGGGCTGCCCGGTCCGTTTCTCCAGTGTTTCTGGTCGTTAGCATTGACAAGCGGTTTCAACGCTGTCGGTCACACTCAAGCGTAAATGTGTGAACCGGCCTTTGGGATTATGTATACCATGCCGACGTTTTCAACAAGTTAAAGTGTTGCGTACCCGTAGCAGCTATTTAATTAATAAAAAAGAAACGCACATAATGACCGGCAACTGGCTAACGGCAACCTATTCGTTATTCCAGAGGAGACGATGCCACCTAGAGCAAAGACATGACTATAAGAAATGGGTGGGTTGCAGCCATCGAAAGGAGTAGGAAAGCCTCTGCGGCCTGGCGGCTAAATTGTAAAACAGGGGAACGGGGGATTGAGTGCACATAGGTGGAGTCGAGCAAACTACTAACTTCATCTCTCAGTTCCGTGAATGTCTTTGCGATGCCCTGGTGGCACGATACGATTGCAATGTTGTCTCCCTTGGCGTCGGCCGTCCTGTCCACGACCTCTCCCATGGTCCAGGGGAGGAAAGGATTTTTTCCGGGCTTGTGAAAGTAGCTGAGACTTGTAAGGGTCCTTATTGAAGAAACATATTATGCTCTGATTAGAAAAGGGCACGAACACATTCTATCTAATTTTATTAAGACGATTTTTTTTAAAAAATAATTTTAAAAGCATAAAATGCTTTTTAAACAAAACCCTAAGATAAAAAAAAAAATAATTGCCCAGTTATCTGTGCATTTCCCCGTTACATTTAGCGGAAAAAAATATTGTCCTATGTTCTGGCTCACGAGAACTATAGACCAATTACTTCCCTCCGCTAAATTGATCGGGGCGGGAAAATTGACATTTTTTGACGTCATGTGACCTGTGAACCGTCAGCTTCCCGCTAAATTTAGCGGAAAACTTTACGCCATGTTACCTACACACAAATTCAATCTATCCGCTAAATTAAGCGAAGAAATTTTTGTCATGTGATCCATACACCGATTCGGGTTCCCCGTTATATATAGCGGGGAAATTAATAAGATGTGAACACGCGGTTATATTTAGCGAGGAGATTAATAAAATGTGAGAGTGAAGTTTGGCAAGTGCAGCCGTAGTAATATTATGAACAAAGAGGGGAGAAAGTTATTATTGAATTTATTGCATGAAAGTTAGACAAAGGAAAATAGAAAGAGAACTGTCGAATAATTGGGTCGGGAATGGTGATCGAACCCGCAACCTTCGCCTATCTGGACGACGCCTTAAAGGGATTCTGAACCGACCATTTCGAGCACATAAAAGAATGCTGGAGCGATAAGCGATACGTTGCAGAACCAAAAAACACCCCTTTTACAGCGATATCTATAAAATAGGGCCATATTTTTGGAAAAGAAATGCGCGACTGAACACGGCCGACGAGGTCGACGAGACATATGTGACGTCATGATTCTCATTCCCCATCTTCCTCGCTTCGTCCCGTCGAGCACGTCGAGCTGGTGAACCGAAGCGCGGAGGAGAGAAGCGAGGCCGGCCTCCTCTCATTCTTAACCATTCTAGGAGGATCGTGACGTCACATTCCTCGCTTGATCGCGCCCTTCTTTTCCAGAAATACGGCCATCCGTTTGAGATATCGATGAATGAGGGAGGTTTGGGAGTTCGTAGCGCCCCGTTGAACGCTTCTGCGGCCTTATTTTTTGAAATCCGAATTTCGGTTTAGTATCTCTTCAAACACAGTAACATTGTGGACGAAAAGTGGAGAAAGTAATTATTGAATTTATTGCATTAAAGTTAGAAAGAGAGAAAGGGAAATAGAGCTGGCGAAAAATTGGACCAGGTGCGGTTTTTCTAGTTTTAATGCAATAAATTCAAGAATCCCTTCCTACCCTTTCAGAGAACGCAGTCCAAATCGCTCCTGCGAAAACTACTCATCGCAACGAAAAAAGGCTTGTGGCGTTTTGGTCCTGGGTCAGGCCCCATTTAGGAAAATTATTTAAAGTCCGGGATAATTAGGTTGTTAATTATTTTTGCGTAATTAACTTTTTTTTTAATATTGTGTTTAAGGGCATGGTTTAAATTAGAAAATTGCTCAGCATCATCGAAAAACACTAAATCAACAAATTGCAGACCGATAGAAGGCACGCGAAGCATTTTACGACTTTCTTGAAAACCGCACAAAATCGACGGGTTTTTAAGTTTTGGTTTGCTATCGAAGCCTATCTCGCGACGCAGCAGAGGTTGGTTGCACAATCTCTCCACGGGGCGCGGTGCCGCCGGGGCTGACATGCGCTCCGATAGCAAACCGAAACTTAAGAACCCGTCGAATTTGTGCGGTTTTTCAGAAAGCCGTAAATTGCTTTGCGTGCCTTCTATCGTCCTGCAATTTGTTGATTTACTGTTTTTTGATGATAATGAGCAATTTTTTTAATTTAAACCATGGCCTTAAACACAATATTAAAAAGTTAATTAAGCAAAAATAATTAACAAATTAATTAACCTGGACTTCTATAATTTTCCTAAATGGGCTTCTGGCCCAGGACCAAAACGCCACAAGCCTTTTTTCGTTGCGATGAGTAGTTTTCGCAGGAGCGATTTGGAAAAGGACGGTTGCATTGTGCCGTAAGACAAAAAATTAAAGGAACCATGAAATGAAATTGAGGTTGGGATAAATAATTTTAGATTTTAATCGCACTTCGCGTATTGGGCACAAGAAAAAAAATCTAGTACGCTAGGGTGAAAAGCCAAAAACCTGCTTTTTGGTACAAAAAAAAAAAAAAAAAGATATAGCGCACTATTTCTTACTTTTTTTCCTTCGAAAGCTTTCTGCCTTTCACTGTGATGCATGGGCGGTGCCCAAGCACGTCAGCCGAACCCAGCTAACGCATTGGACACTAGCACTTCGTCACTCGGACGTATGCGCTCGTCAACAATCAGTCCATCGACGAATTCTTGAATTCGCGTTTGTGGTCAACGAGTGCCGTGACGGCACTTATCAACCCTTGAGAAAAACAATTGTTTCATGGAGTTCCTAAAGGGACCATGAAATGATTTTTCAACTTCTTTCTCCTTAGCTTTAATCCTCTACTCAAAAACGAAATTAGGAATCACGTGGCCGTGACGTGCTTGGCATACATGGGTAAATTACTTTCAAGATGTAGTTTAGTTACAATTACAATTACTTTGATCCAAAAGTAGTTTAACTACAATTGCAATTAATACTAAGGGAAGTAATTGATTATAATTAGAAACTACGTTTAATTGTTTGCTTATTTGCTTATTGCTTACTTCTGGGGGCGACCCGATTGGGTCATATAACTTAAAACGAGTTGTATAGAATGCAAAACATTGGTCCGTCCCTTGACCAATGTTTGAGGAGGCATGAGCATCGCATGATAAATGCCACTTATTGTACATTCCTTTTATGAATTTTGTTGAATTTATGATAGAGCTTCACAGTTTTGGACAATGAAGTACTATATGTTCTTATATTTTTAAGAAAAAATAATAAAATAGTTCATATGCTGGAAGACGCCAGATCGCTAAAGAAAGAATTATGTTGACAGACGTTTGTTATCCAGGCATATGAAAATGAGACAATTATTCATACATTAAAATTTTACAAGTGTTAATATAAAACTAAAAACCACGCGCGCTAATACGACCACATTCACATACAAACATCATGTTATTCTAAATAATTTATATTGAGTTGAAATTATAATGGATCAGAAATGCATAAGAACAAGGAAAAGAAGAAGAAGCCTCGGAACAGCCTGTCGCAGTTTTGTGGCTCTCAGCTTATTTTTCCCAAATTGGCCATTCTTAAATCATTTTCAATTGTTATTCAAGTCGCAAGGATTGTATATTTAACTTGGCATCCGCACCGGCAAGTCTGAACACCAAGAAACGGGCGTCGACGGCCGGCAAATTGCCATTGCCGTCGCAACCCGATGCCATTCCATTGATAAAGCCACCCGCCACCATGGAACAAATACCACCCTCCCAGGAACAAGGTAAATCACCTTCACCCAATGAAAATCCACCCTCCCAAGAGCTGCCACCGACGCCCCCAACTACCCACTCAGATGTGCAGGCGGAAGCCGTCATTCCCATCAAACGGCAGCGCGTTGAAGGTGCATGCAGACTCGACCCGCAGAGGTCAGATCCTCCATCGGAAGCGGCGACTTCGACTTACACGTTACAGGAAAGCATGGATGACAACGACGATGACGCGGGTTTTACCATCGTCTCTTACAAGAAAAACCGACCAGCAGGTATCCCAATACTCTTTCATCCGACGTCCAAGGAGACTTCCTTCTGGAAGGTGAACCCGAATGTCCTGGCACGAGAGGTATTGGGAATAGCACAGGAGAAAATACTCTCACACAGAATCGCCAAGGATGGCAGCCTATCGGTCAGTGTAGCGTCCCTCCCTGCGGCAAATAAACTGCTTGCGCAAACATCCCTCGCGGGAATCGAGGTAAGGGCAACCACTCCAAGGTCCTACTCCGAAAACATGGGCAAAATCAAAGGAGTTCCTCTCCAATACTCCGATAGTGATCTATTGGAGTACTTAAAAGACAGTGGTGTACTAACTGTCCAAAGACAGGTTGCATACCAAAGACAAGAAGATGGCTCTTCAGTGGCCCGTCCCAAAGATAGCGTCATACTTCGCTTCACGCAGGACCACCCGATGCCTCCCAGGGTATACTTGGGGTTCACCAGCCACCCAGTGGAAGAGTACTTCGGTTCTCCCCTTCAATGCTACCAATGTCAACGATTTGGACATATTGCCAAGAACTGCCGCGGTGCCCGCCGTTGCAAAATATGTGCAGGTCCACATCACCATCAAGAGTGCAGCTCACGAGCTGAACCTAAATGCGCCAACTGCGGCCAAGGCCACGCGGCAACGTTTTCCGGCTGCTCCAGTAAAAAAGCGGCAGCAGTTGTAAGAAAAACCGAAATTATAAATGGCAGAACACCTACTCGACGATCTCCACCATCAAATCCAGAGATGGTGCGAATACCTGAAGCTCCAAACGACACAAAATCGTCGACATCCAAGCCTACGTATTCAGACGTGCTACATCGACAACCAAGTAAGAAAAACACTGCTTCAAAAAATGAAAATGGTTCCATGACGTCAGCGCCGCTTACTCAAGCCGAAAAGCGCGAGTCAGGACCTCCAATGCCTACCGCGTCTGGTGCCCGAAGGGCTCCACGACCCACTGCATCACAAACGACACACTCAATGGAGACGCCGTCTGCTACATACCGTGCAGATTCCCCGGTCAACGCAGACAGCCAAGCAACTGATCAACGATTTCTCATGCGGCTACTGTTTTTGGCAGTGAAAGCGATCATTAGATCGCTACCAGACGCCGTCAACATCCCAGAGGTAAAGGCGATCCTTAATATGGAACCCCTTATTCTGGGGACAAGGGTCCCTGAGATGTAATGAATAGTGTGTACAGTGAAACCACTGTATTCCAATGGAATGCGAATTCCCTCCGAACTAAAATAGGAGACTTCAGGAAGCTCGTTGCGCAATACCAGTTCCCTGTTCTGGCAATATCTGAAGCTCATACAGATGCAAAAACTAAGATAGCTGGCTACCTCACGTATTGCTCGTCCCGTCGGGATGGTCCCAGTCGAGCAATGCTCTGTGTGAGGAAAGACATACCATCAGTTATTATGTGCACATCATCGTCTGAAGCGCCAGAATACGTCGCGTGCAAGATCACGTTTGGCACGACCGCAATGATTATAGCCTGCGTATATATAGAGCCAGTAACATCAGTGACGGAGGAAGCTCTAACATCAATATTCTCAAAATTTAGTGATCCATACATTTTATGTGGGGATTTTAACTCGCACCATACATTGTGGGGAAGCACACAAAATGATAGGAGAGGGAAGCTGATTGCCAATGTAATAGAGAAATATAATCTATGCGTGCTAAATGATGGCTCTCAGACATTTCTTCGTGGATGTACTTATTCAAGTGTTCTGGATTTGACAATATGTTCTCAAGACATTTTCCCGGATTTATCATGGCATGTTGATACAGAAACCCATGGAAGCGACCACTTGCCCATACTCGTCCAGCACAGAAAGGTAGCGAGACCGCGCAATGGACAACGGAAAGTTAAAATTACAAATTGGCGTATGTTTCGATCTTTGAATACGCTAAGCTGTAAAAACGTTGATACGTTGGACGATTTTATTTCGATTGTGAAAGAAAATTTTGACCACGCAACAAGATGGGTATCCATTCCATCCGATTATAGAGGTGTTGATGCTTCGTATGAAAAACTTAGAGCAATACGACGCAGAGCCGAACGAAGATACCGCCGCTCAGGATGGATAGAGGACTATAAGGAGGCTCAGCGTGTTCACGGCCTTATACAGCGTAAACTTAGACAACTTGCCAAACATCGATGGCGACAGCTTTGTGCTAAGCTATCGTCTGTAAGTGACCTCACGAGGATGTGGATTATTATTAGAGCTCTCCAAGCGCCGACTATTCAAAGGTTCCCGTTGCGAGCAATGGCCCTATCCAGAGGCGTATCAGAACTGACAATAGCAGACGAGTTTTGCAAATTATTGGTTCGACCAAGCGCGGCATCTCTGACACTTAAATACTTTGCCTCGTGTGTCAATGCCAAACAAACAATTGATAACGAGTTTACGTCCTGTCATTTGGAGCTAGATTGTGTTTTCACAATGAGGGAACTTCAAAACGCACTGAGAGTGATACGTCGGGGCAGGTCGCCTGGCCCAGACCTGATCACATGGGATGAATTGACCAACATCGGTCCACGTGCGCTGAACTTCATTTTGAGCACGTTCAACTCTCTCTGGGTCAAGGAAGAAATACCAGCCCAATGGAAAGTCGCTAAGGTCATACCGCTTTTGAAAGCGGGAAAAACACCCATGGACCTAGCCTACTTTCGACCAATCAGCCTTACAAGCTGCTTAGGTAAGCTTTTCGAAAAGCTAATTAATCAACGACTACAATGGTGGCTAGAAACGAGTGAAGTGTTACCGGAAGAACTAGCAGGGTTCCGTCCCAAACGCTGCACGATGGATTGCGTTTTAGATTTGGTAACGTACATAGAACATGAACGTACGCTCGGAAAAATCACAATAGCTGTATTTTTAGATATCAAGCGCGCATACGATACAGTAAGTCAAATCCACATTCTATATAGTCTTATACATCTTGGAATTCGAGGACGAGTCGTACGGTGGATAAAAAACTTCCTTTCAAAACGGACAATGTTTGTAAAGACCGCAGATGGAGATAGCACGAGTCAAACTCTCCGACACGGCGTACCTCAAGGGAGCGTACTAAGCCCTACTCTATTTAATACGGTCATGGCTTTGCTTCCAGGTCGCCTCCCTTCACCACTCCATGTGACGATATATGCAGATGACATTTGCATCTGGGCCTCAGGCACTTGTCTAAAGACTTTACAGGATCAGCTTCAAGCGGGACTGAAGCTCTTAAACGAGTTCTTAAGTGAACGGGGTATGGATATTGCGCCTTCAAAATCAGTAATGCTTCCGTTCACGAGGAAGCACCTTCGTGGATTCGAGCTAAAAATACAGGGTCAAACTTTAGAACGCGTCTCGCATCATCGCTTTCTTGGAGTGATTCTAGATCAAAACCTCACTTGGGTAAAACACATCGATATGCTGGAGGCAAAAGTAAACAAAACAATCAACATTCTACGTTATTTTACTGGAGTTCGTTGGGGAGCCTCAACGAAATCCATGATAATGCTGCATTCTGCGATTGTTCGGCAACTTATTACATATTCACTCCCAGCACTCCATGGATTATCTGCAACACAAGAAAACAGACTGCATTACATGATCGCCCGTAGTCTTCGGATCTGCTTGGGCGTCCCGCGTCCAACTCGCGGAACACTGGTTTTAGCAGAAACAAAACAGCTACCTCTTCAAACTTTACGCGAACATGAGACCTTACGTCATTTCCTACGCTTGTCCATTCAGAACTGTCACCCACTTGCGGAGAATTTGATAACTAGGACGGGCTCACATATTTCCTCGACACTTATATCGTCGAGCGTAATCGTGCCGGATTACACACCGTGGGTTCCGACTATAGATCGACCACCCTGGATGTTTCGCGTCGCAGATATTAACACGGAATTACCCAACCTTAAGAAAAGCCTGAGCACATCTCATTTTGTGATTGCTCAGTCGGCGTTGGCATACTTGCATGATCACTACAGAGACCACATTCATGTATACACAGATGGCTCTACGACAAATGATGGCTCAACCTCAGCTTTCGTAATTCCATCAATGCAAGTGAAGAAACGTATTCGTTTGTCCCACAGAACGTCCTCTACTGCTGCAGAGCTTTATGCAATTTTTGCGTCAGTGGAGTATATAAAGGACGTAGAGCCGAAAAACCAGTGGGTTATCTGCACGGACTCCAAGGCAGCCCTCGGTGCTCTTTCGTCAATAAACTCTAGAAGTCCGGCATATGCATTGGTCTACCAGGTAGCTGATATGATCGATCGGGCCATAAGTAATGGTCATTCATTAAAGCTGCAGTGGATTCCAGGCCATAGCGGAATCTCAGGAAACATGGAGGCAGACAAACTAGCAACAAGTGCACACGCTTTAGAAAGAATTCGAGGAATTCCTTTTTCGAAAACAGACATAAAGTATTTAATTGCACACCACTCCAAAGAAATGGCAGTCGACATATGGTTTAATGAGGCAGGACGGCAGTCTACTCTCTTCGTGGTGGATCCAGAATTACGGTTTTATATCCCAAGCGATATACCGAGAAAATTTGAAACCATGCTTCACCGCCTGCGACTGAACGTGGCTTTCACGAGAGAATTTCGCTACAAAATTAATGAAATTGAGGACCCGAAATGTTCTTGCGGTCAGGATGTGGAAACTATTGAACA